TGGATCTCTGTTGGAAGTTTTTTTTTTTTTTTTTTTTCTAGGAAGCTAATTTGTAAACACGAATGCATCATTATAAATTTTTGTGTGAATTTTTGAAACTTAATTATCCAGAGATATTTATTTTCCTTAGTCATTGAAAATAATAAAGCAGTAAGGCATGGGGCCATTCGTAACAGTGATTTTACCACAATTAAGAGAGTGCAATGCACAACGCTGACTGACATTTTCTCTTTCTTTCTCTCTTCCCACTCATTTCTTTCTTTCTATCCTCTGTTTCCTCTCCGTCTATCCTGTATCCAGCATGTATCTGAGCTGTTGGCGGTGGTCCGGCTTCCGTTCATCCATCCCAGCTACCTGCTGAACGTGGTGGACAACGAGGAGCTGATCAAATCTTCAGAGGCCTGCAGGGACCTGGTGAACGAAGCCAAGCGCTACCACATGCTGCCACACGCCCGCCAAGAGATGCAGACGCCCAGAACTCGCCCGCGACTGTCTGCCGGTACATTGTTCAGCATGGCTTATAGTCTCTTCAAGATTAATATGAGCCGTGTGGTGAACATCAGACACACTGGTGCTGCTCTGAACCCTTGTGAGCTGCACTGCTGTGAGTTTGTTTCGTCATCAGATTTGGAGAAATGTAGCATTGCATCACTTGCTCACCAGTGGATCCTCTGCAGTGAATGGGTGCCGTCAGAATGAGAGTCCAAACAGCTGATAAATACATCACAATAATCCACACCACTCCAGTCCATCAGTTAATGTCTTATCAGTTAATGCCTTGAATTAACTTCAAACCTTTGTTTCTGGTTAAAATACGAGTCCATAATAACGCTTCGTCCAGTGAAAATCTCCTGTTTTCTCTCACATCAAAATCCAGCCACATATTTGTTTAGAGCTGTTTTGGCTTGTCAACGCTGCTTGATCTGTGCAGATTTCTCTCCTGATTCAGACCAGACCACTTTTTCACTGGAGAAAGAAATATTATGGATTATGAACTAGTATTTTAGCCGTAAGCAACAGTTTGAAGTTAAAAATGTCTTAATGATGGATTTGTGGATTACTTGTGGATTATTGTGATGTTTTTATCAGCTGTTTGGACTCTCATTCTGACGGCACCCATTCACTGCAGAGGATCCATAAATTTCTCCAAATCTGTTCTGATGAAGAAACAAACTCATCTACATCTTGGATGGCCTGAGGATGAGTAAACTTTAAGATATTTTAATTTTTGGGTGAACTGTTTCTTTATGTAATTGAGCAGATTTCGCTAGATGTGGTCCTGACTTGTACAGTCAGGATAGTAGTTGGTCTTTATGGGTGCTGTGCAGTGATACACAGTACTCTAGAGCTCCTTTTGCATGCTATATAGTGTATTTTAGCATGTGTTGACCAATCAGCAACCAGGACTGTTTTATAATAATGCAGTGCACAGATTTAGAAGCAGCAGCATGCTGGATAGAATCCAGAATCCGTCCTGATGTGGTGTGACAGGGCGCTGGTGAGCGGAGCGACTGGAATAGAGCCACAGCGCTGTCAGAGAGCTGCCAAAGCGTGCGTCAGCGCACCTGCGCCTCTTATTACTGAGCTTTAGCCAGTGGGTAAATTTCACCTGTGTGTACTTAAGACAAGCTGTGTAGAGATTATCACACCCAACGACCCAGTTCACCACCGACTGCGGATTCTCTATATGCATTATTATATAAAGAGCTGAGAAACAGAAATCTTTTTTTGATCCATCTTTTGTTGATGCTTTTGAATAGGGCTGTTCTTTTTGAAAGCGTTAGTGTTTACACTCCCGGTAAGTCCAAACATGTTGAATGCTGTGCTTATTATGTAGGTTGGGATACAACAAAGTATTTTCAAATGCAAAAAAGTGTGAAAGAAGCAAACAAGCTACTGAAAAATTACAAAAACTGCAAATATTTCAAACACAGCACCTTTTGACGTTTTGCATTTTTTGGCCATTTTGAATTACTGTAGCCTATGCAGCGAGTTTTAAGGCACAGTGAGTTTTGGGCAATTTTTTGACATGAAAAATATGAAGCACTTAACATTTAGAGAACTTGCTTTTGTAGGTAGATGGAGTTTCATTCATGTAAGCAGCACTTTACAGGTAGTTACATACCAAGTCCCATCCCAGTGGAAAGAGACAGGTTTATTTATTTGTTTCTAAATCTAAATCCAGAAAGCTCCTTGAATTCTTTTCATGTCATAATCCATTGCTGTGATCTGGAGTGGTCAGAGGTGGGGCGATCAGCGCCGGACCACCTGGTGCTTGAGTCTCTAATGCCACAGTCAGCAGGAAGGAGGCGAGCGCAGCGGGGGCCCTCGCTCTGCGGGAGATCATGAGGCTGGCGGAAGGGCACGGACCCCGGGCCCCGATCCCAGCCACGCTGCATTAACACGAGATGAGAGGCATGCTCTCCTAGAGATGAGAAACTGTGAAACGTTTGGTAACTCTTTAGATTAGGGAACAGATATTATTGAGTTTTCCCTCAATAAACTCCAAATTTGCTGTTTACTGATAATAAGTGCGGTACAGTAGTTGTTGTTGTAGTTACATTTAGGTGTTGGGTAAACATTAAAATAATTTGCATAAACATTAAAATAATAATATTAAAAATGATGGCCGGATTTTAAACAAACAAAAAATATTGGTTGGGTGACTTAAAACATAACCTGTTATCTGCTAACATATACTACATGTTAAAAAAAAAAAAAAGAGAGAGAATCCTCACATTTCCACTTTTGAATCATTAAGTAAAGGATGGGTCAAATGATACATTACAGGCATTTTATCTGCGCCATAAACAATTTTACATAGGATACCTTATTATCTGAAGTGTTGAGCTTGTTTTACCAGATAAGATTTACAACAAAAATTTGTTCCAATTTTCACATTGGTCTGCACAAAGATAGCAGACAAACTGAATGAAAACGTAAATCCAATGTGTGCCAGTAGGTGGCGCTTATCGAACTGTAGAAATAGAACCGTTTCCACAGTAACCTCTGTAAACAAAGTAGCGCTGCGTTTATAAACACTGCTTTATTAGGCGTTATACTATGGTGCTGTTGAATGCTTGAATCTGATTGGTTGATGAACGTTCTAAGGTGTGCAGTTATTTTCAGGGAAACGCACAGCTAAAGTAGTTCCAGGCAGGTCTTGACCGCATTACATGTCCATACAGTATCACTTCACCAAATGATTTCAGTGATTTCAAAGGTCCTTACAGACTACAACAGCAAAAGAACCTAAACCCACGACGACACTGACCAAGCTAATAAATATAGTAAACGACAAGCTAAAAACGACAAATTATTTCCATGTTTTTGCCACAAAATGACTTTTTTTTTTACGTAATTTTCTCCCGCTCTCTCTCTCCCTTACAAACGCACACACACTCTGCTTCGCATCGAGGCCGCATCAGCACCTCGGGTGTGCATTATTATCTGATAATTCAACGGCCCGTCATCAATTATTCCTTACTTACATGGAGGGAAGATGAAAAGCAAATGTCATTGAAACTTTTCTGAAGACAGTTGGTTCCTCCTTATGTATTTATAGAATTCATTCACTCATTCCTTCTTTCATATAATTTCTCTCAGCACTCTGCTTACAGTCATATTTTTACTTAACGCTTGCGTGAGACTCTTACCGACTTTGATGAATAATTACTGGGAGTTTTTCAAATCGTGATAATCAAATACAGTTTTAATGATAATTAAAATATGAAAATTAAATTAGAATATGGTAACTCTCACCGTCAGTACTTTTTATCATGGTTTACGCCTCGTGTAAGCAGAAGTGTTGCTGCAGTCAGGTACCTGCTGGAGGACGCTGTGATGCGGTTGATGGCTGTCGTGTGCCGTTTGATTGATGCTGCTGCTGTAATGTAGTGAGGGTTTGTGGGAAGGGGGTTTTGTTTGTGGGGAAAAGGGGGGTCTCATAACAGGAAGATGTACTGGTGTGAAGTGGGAACACAACCTGCAGTTGTGCGGCTGAAAGAGCTGCCACACGAGCAGATGTTCGTGCCAATCAAATGCTTTTTTTTTCTTCTCTGGAAACTCCTGTGAACCCGAGCTTGAGCAGGAATATCACGCCGCCGGTTGCGTCACTTTAGCGTGTGCTTCAGCAACCGTGCATTTACTGCAGCGCGTGCGATGTGCTCCGGTATACAGCTGCGTCATGAGTATTTCAATTATGTTATTGTCATTATTTTTAGCATAAAAATGTCTATGCAAATTAGACTTTATAGATTCCACCTTATTCACAGCAGTCAGTGCTTGGTGCTTTTGCAGCCTGCAGAAAGCTAATTTATTAAAAAGAGAATTTTGTATAATAATATATATATATATATATATATATATATATAAGTATATAAGTATTTTGTCATAAAAATGAATGTGTGTATGTGTATTATTATTTTATAATATCAGTTGTACAAAATATCTGTATTATGCAAACATCTTTTTTTTATTTTATTTATGTGCATTGTGCATGCATTCAGATTGCATTCAGTAGTTTTTTGTTTGCGTGTATATTATATGTACATAATTCCTTTAGGGAATCAGCTACTAAAACAGAAATAAGCAACATTATCAGCAGCTGCAATTAATTGTTGCTGAATCTTCCCAGAGAGATTTATGCAGTATGTGCTATGAGTCTTTGTTCATTTTATTGAATCACTGTATTGAAAAGAATTACGCAGAGACAATAAATGTCCCCAGAGATAATTCATTTTTGTATTTCAGAAGCCCTTGAAATCAAAGACAAGATTATTTCTCTTTTTTTTTAAATCTTTTTTAAGATGCGAAGGATGACATTTAATTTTCTGCTGTTACAGAGGCCTGACCCTTTCTGCCCCGATCCACTGTTTCTTTTATTTATTCATTTTTTTCAAGACGATGTATGTCATGAATTTTAATTCGGATGATAAGATCGTGTTGGGTACTTTCAGCTAGTTCAGAATAACGGAGCCTGAAGCCTTTTTCATGCCAGTGAATCTGTACTTTTCCTTAAATAGAAATTTAAGATACTTGTATATTTTTGTCAGGGCAAACTTTGCTGATAGCGCTCTGGATCTTTTCTGGCGCTCTGTTGAGTTACGCCTCATTTTTAGAAGGGAACATTTGTTATCTCCCCAAAATTGTCATGTTTTTCACTCAGAGGCTATTATTTTTTTTCTTGTTATATCCCTTTTTCATATGAAATGTTTTCTCGCTACCTCTTTGTGATATTCCTTTCTCCCTTTTCTTTTTTTCTGTGTCGGAATAAAATGAATTACAGAATGAAAAGCCTGTGATGTGGCATAAGCAGTCGGGAAGGAGACTTCATGTGTTGTATAGAGAGGAAAACGCATTCATAATTGATCAGAAAACGGCTTCTGTTTGTAGATCATTTTGCTCTGAAAAAAACTGTTCCAGTAAATGTTTTGTTTGGTTGTTGCATATTAAGCTCCAGTTATTCATCACATGCACTTATAAACCCTTGCATACACTGTACACTACCAGTCAAAAGTTTGTTATTTTAATGTTTTTGAGTCACTTCTGCTCACCAAAGGTGCATTTATTTGATCAAAAATACAGTAAAATCAGTAATATTGTGAAATATTATAACAATTTAAAAGAAGTGTTTTCTATTGAAATATATAGTAAAATTTAATTTATTTCTGTGATGCGCAGCTGCATTTTCAGCATCATTACTCCAGTCTTCAGTGTCACATGATCTTCAGAAATCATTCTAATATGCTGATTTGCTGCTCAAGAAACATTTCTGATTATTGTCAATATTGAAAACAGTTGTGCTGTTCATATTTTTGTGGAAACTGATGCACGACCATTTGAAGGTTTAGGGAACAGTAAGTAAGATTTTTTTTAAAGAGAGAGAGAGAGAGAGAAAGAAAAAGAAAAAAATGAATACTTTAGTTCAGTAAGGATGCATTGAATTGATCAAACGTGACAGTAAGCACATTTATAATGTTACAAAAGATTTCTACTTCAAACTTTCTACAATCCTGAAAACAAATATTACAGCTTTCTCAAAAATATTAAGCAGTAAAAATGGTTAAAAATAAGAACCATTATTAATAATTGAGCACCAATAATAATTGATAACTGAGCAGAAAATCATTATAGAATTGTAGAAAAAAATAGAGGAAAAATCATTATAGAATAGAATTGTGTTTGAATAGAATATAATTATTTAGTACATTAAGTTAAACTAGATGAAAATTAGATTTTTTATTTTTTTTTCAGTTAAAATGTGTTTCATTTCAAGTAAGTCATGTCAGTGTTTTTTTTTATTGTTTTTCATATATTAAAATAGAAAACAGTGATTATAATATTTCACAATGTTTCTGTTTTCACTGTATTTTTATCAAATGAATGCAGCTTTGTTGAGCATGAGAGACTTCTTTCAAAAACAATCAAAATCATAATTATTCCAAACTTTTGTCCAGTAGTGTAAAAAGCATGAGAGTATGAGCTGGTTTTGCCTGGTCACCCATCAGAACCATCACAATAAGCAGCTTGCACCAGTAGCAGACCAGCTCGCAGTGTAATCTGGTCCAGACAGGTCTGATGTGTTGCTTTGAGCAGGTGATTTGTGTGAACGTCACAGTGTTTGTCTCTGCAGGTGTCGCTGAGGTGATCGTGCTGGTGGGTGGGCGACAGGTCATCGGCATGAACCAGCGCTCGCTGACAGCCGTCACTTGCTTCAACCCTCAGAACAACAAGTGGTACCCCCTGGCCAGCCTGCCTTTCTACAACCGCGAGTTCTTCTCCGTCATATCGGCGGGGGATAATATCTACCTGTCAGGTAATCAGACCGACAGTGTGTCACTTGCAGTTTGGTGGCTGCCCGCAGGTGTCTGCTTTTATATTTAGCAGCTCACGCTCTGAGGGATGATGGGAAGGCACCATCCTCATCTCTGTCTTTAGCACTGGCTGTGTGTCAAATTCTGATGTTAAATATCCCACAGATCAAGTAGGATAAAATCAATAGCGCAGGAAAGATGACGCTTTTAAAGCTGTAATGGCAGTTTGGTTGTGAAAACGGAATATGAGACATCATGGACATCAACAGTTTTTTAGATTTAATTTTGTATAATGGTAAAAAGGAAAGTGTATGTCTTAGTTGCTGTTATATGTATTTTTAAATTACATTTTCCTTCTGTAATTTATTTTAAAAGATACTGGTGTGTGACAAATATTCAATGCAGTCTTTCAATTAATAGGGCTCACAAAATCCAAATGTATAACTTTTAAAAGCATTAGCAAAATACTGTTTAAACATTTTTTACATTACGTTTTTAGCTGGTCAGACCACAGAAAAATTTAAACATTAATACAGAGAAAACTATATAAAGAGTTGTATTAAAGATTTATTTATATAATATACATTTTATATAAAAAAATATGTACGTGTATATA